ATTTTTATTTTTAAATATTGAGATTGGATAAACACAACCTCCAAATTTAGAAGTCAATTTTAAACTTTTAACTTTTATTAAATTCAAATAACTAACTAAATTTAATTCCCAACTTTTAATTACAAGATTTAATGGCCATTTTGTCTTATTCGAATTGGCAATATTTTTGTCATAAATTTGTTGGTAAATTATCTGCCATGATTTGAATTTGGGTGTTAATTTTACAATTGATTTAAAATTAAAATTTTAGAGCCAAAATTAACCCAATATTGTAAGTATTATTTCATCTTATTACGTAATAATCGAACCTGTCAAATTAAATCAAACTATCGTCATTTTTAAACACGGATGATGTCATATATTTTTGTAGTATGGATAGAAAATTAAATTAAAAAATATAATATGTGTTTCCCCATTTTTGGATATTGTTAAATGACGTGCTGTGCATGCAGGATGTGTCAGTTTTTATCTTTTATCCTTTTTTTTTAGATACTTTTAACCTAAATTACCCATAGAATCGAATTTCCAATTTCTATTTAACTTATTTAATGGGCAAATATTTAAAATAAAAAAATATATCAGACATAAACATCTATATAAATTTAATTAGTTAAGATATATATAAACAATAAAGTGGTGGATCTGAATTTTGAATTTAAAAATAAAAATGAGTTTTGTAATAAATTTTATTAATATATTCGAATTTCTATTTAACTTATATTTAATGGTCAAATATTTAAAATAAAAATAAGTATAAGACATATATATCATATGACTCGGGAATACAACCCTACAAATTTAAATAGTTAAGATATATATAAATAATAAAAATCTGATATGAATCTTTGAATTTAAAAAATAAAAAGTAGTTTTATAATAAATTTTATTAATGTACATATAATTAACAATATTCTTTCGTTGTATTGTTTTATATTATATATATATATATATATATATTATTTTATTTTATTTTTTCTCGATACTACCTAGTAGATATAACAAACTTCTAGGTACATAAGAATTTTACCACGTTGTGCTTTTAATATGATTTTATGCATTTGTTTTGTAATGAGAAGTGGTGAGTCGAAGAGATTGGAATTTATTTGAGAATCAAAGTATATTATTAAAATTATATTTTAACTTCAAATTATTTTTTTTTTTTAAGATATAGTTTTTCTTTATTGAGGCAAGATTCTGTTGAGTAACTAGACAAATTAAAGAGGTGCCAGCTTCTACGAGACAGGATTATTGGAGTATAGTATAATTATGTACTTTAATAAATAGAGTGGAGTGGTGGTCCTTTTATGGACAACAAGTGATTCCGGATTATCGAACTTGAGGTCAACAATTGAACCTGATGTCACTTTAATATAAGTGCGGCAGTAAACTTATTACCTCTTAAGAACAAAAAAGAAAAAGTAGAAATTCGGATATGTACTCGTGTTGATAGAGGCTATTAATTAATACTTTAACTTTTGATTTCTTTTCTATTTCTATGTAATCCCAACTATTCAATATTTATAAAAGATTGGTTTGAATATTATTTGGTTCGTGTATATACCTTTTTTACCTTAATTCATTTTAGTCAAGATATGCTAGATGAGAAAGTTTGGGTGTCTAAAAAGAGTCGGAAAGCCTCTTGCCAAGGAAGGATTAGCATAAAGGAATAAATGCTTCGATGCTCAAATCAATTTTAGTTCGACATTAGTATGGGGATCGAGCTAAATGTGATATACCTTACTAAAGAGTGAATCGCCTTATTCGTAAGTTTGGATATTTGACAGGGAATTCGATAGGCATTTGAGCATGTCGAACACGCACGATCTGGACAGGTAGACCACGTCTTGCTCTCCAATATCAGGCTAAGTGTTGAAAGTTATTCATGTGGGAAAATGAGCATTAAGGGCAGACCTCCTAGTATGTTTTTTAAAACTGAGTTTTTCAACAAAATTATTCCTTAGTGAAAAACTGGGTGGAAGTAGATGGACGTGCCTGAACTGGTGGAGGTGTTGTTGCTTGTGCAACTGGAATCTCAAGCGAAAAAGCGAGAGATGCATAAGTGGAGGTAGTTATCAGTGCATCCAGAGCAGCCAACTCATTTCTCCTCTATACCAAAATGTTTTCTAATTTCGGGGGGTCAGTAGACTACATTTAATTGGGTTTCTGTCCTCCAACATGACTATTTTAGTTATTTTATCTAAACTTTTATTTGTTTTAATCCATGTACTTTTAAAAAATCTATTTTGGTTCCTATACTTTTAAAAATCGACCATTCTGATTCTTTCATTTTTATTTTTATCTTATTTTTTTCCATCATAATTTTAACACAACACTTCACTCATTAAATTTATTGAAATAAATCCAGAAATTTGTATTAAATGGTTCTTTAGGATAGAAAACTTATATTAAAATCTTATAAACATAAACCAAATTGATCCATTTTTAAAAATATATAGAAATACCAAATGAACCGCAACAACCAAAATAGTATTAAACCATAAAAATATTTGAAATGTAATTTTGGCCGTAGATTTTTCCCAAAATATAGGGAGTGAAAAAAGAAATAACGCCCATGCTAAAATTGATTGAGAAGAAAAAAGAAAAAAAAATTAAGAAAAAGGAAATCACAGGTCATAAAATAAAATGATTGGATACTTGTGTCACCACGCTGTACGGACACGTCGACCGGGTACAGGCGGTTGCCGACATTTAAATTAAAGTACAAAATAATCCACACAAAACGTCGCCGTCACATTGATCCCGTTCCCTCCCCTTCCCTCATTTATGTGATTTTATTTATTTTTCTTTCTTTAATGTTCGTGGCCGCCACCGGTAGCCGGTAAACACGAGCCTGCTACTTAAAGGCAATTCCGCCTAGTTTCATTAACTTCAAATTTATTGAATATTTTGCAAGATATGAATAAATTTCCTAATCACTTTGAAAATAATTTTTCATTTTAATAAATATATCATATATATTCATTCAATTAATTAAACTTATCTCTTAACACTTCTTAAACGAAAATATATATACATATATTCTTTCCATCTATGTTTTTTTAAAAAAAAAATTATAATTGTAATAAAGTTTTAAAAATTATAAATTGAATGACTTCTAAACCACCTTTAATTTTTTATTTTGTAAGCACTAATGGATCTACTGGTATCTATAAATATTGTCTTCTATATAGTTATAAAAAAATGAGAAATAATTTATATGTTGTCTACGCTACAACTAATTAAATTAATCTTTGTAATCATTGGACAAAAAAAAAGCATCACATTATTAATATGCTACATCAATTTAATAATTGACATAACTATTAACATTAAAAAGTATTCATATAATTAACCATTTTATATATTTAGTTGACATATTAAATCAACATAAGAAACAAAACCAAGTTCAATAATAATTCATTGTTGATGTTGAGTCTTTTGGTTGGATGGTAAACTTAGGTGCACATTGTATTATGTTATTGACATGGCATAAATAGTTCATCAACGTGTATATATATATGATAGAGTGAATAGGTTACAATTACTACGAATCGTAGGATGTCCGGTAAAATGACGCACTAGAGCTCGTTATGACGTTTATTTCAGAGGTGGTTGAACTAATTTTGGTCGATACAACAGGATCTAATGTGTTAGATTAACCAGTAATAAGCAACATCACCACCGTGTGTATTTCCTATATTGATTATATCTAATGTCTTATTTAGCCTCATCAAACTTTATGTGGTGTCGTGAGTTCCCAGATTAAATAACTTTATGTTCTAACTTGGACTAAGCTTCAAAGACTTGAACTCATGTAGACTACATAATTATTTAGTCTTACCTAAACCATGCTATAAAGTTCGGGCTACTACGAGGCAACTGATGACGAGAAGCGATGTGATTATTATTTTTTATTAAAAAATCGATCCATAAAATTTGTTTGCTTTTTTTTTTCTTTTTTTAATGGGAAAGATGGTGGCAGTTGAAGAAATTATAGCATTACCTTATTTAAATTGTATACATTACGACTCAAAATGCAATTCATCAATTTATTTCATTTTTATGACCACAAAAATGCTGTTTGGTCAAACCAAAACAGAAGCCAATTAAATTCTTACACACCATAGCTAAAGTAAACATAAAACAATAAAAAATAAATAAATTAATAACAAACGAGTTGTGAGATCAGAAGTTCCATCAATATTCAAAGTATTTGCATCGAAACTCGAAAAATAATATTTAAAATATATATAAAAAAAACCATTTCTCTTTCAAGTTTCACATCCTTCCAAATCTCAGAAACGACCCAAAAGAAAGGGAAGGCGAAAGAAAACAATTTTAAATACTATTTCAATTTTTTTTTTAATTTTCAAAACATTTATTACTTTTGTCTATTTCAATAAATTACTTTCTAACCTCTGTTTTAATTCTTTTATTTAAAAAGTGAATATATTATCCTTTATCTCTTTTACTTCTACCCTCATTTTTGCAATCACGAGTAATAGTAAATAAATCCTCTGTGTATATTTTGGATCGGGTACTTTTTTGCAATCACGAATAATAATAAATAAATCCTTTGTGTATATTTTGGATCTGGTACTTTATTCATAAGGAGTTGAGTTATTTCTTATCACAGGTAAAAAAACACTAATTCAAATATTCAGTATGATCACTACCTATTTCTATTGACCGCTGAAATTTAATGAAATCTAAAGACAAGAAAAAAAGTAACAAATAATCCTCCATGTACTTTTACCGTTAAAATTTTCAAACAAGGACAAGCATTTACTAAATAGTAACATCGAAATGAACATTACGAAAGTATAAGAAAAAAATAGACGTTTTAGGTAGAAAAATGTATAAACCAAAAGAAGTTAAAAGTAAAATAATCAAAAGAAAAGAAAA